ACAAAATGACTTGTAATTCAAGTGGTAAAACTCTAACTTCATCTCTTCGATTCTCCCTACTCAAAAATGATCTCTAGGAGTTATTGGACATTTTGAAAATCTTGAAATATGCTCTACAACCCATCTTTGAATCACTTTTGAATATTTCCCTTGGAACTATATGAAAAAGTTCCATGAAGTTGGGTCAAAATCCTGACCAAATTAAGGCAAAATTTCACTAAGTATTTTGTTTCATGACCACATGTTCTTAAAATTATAACTTGAGATCCAAGCACTTTTGGAATAAGTTGTGTGAAGAAAAGTTGTAGATTTAATGAATATATACAACTTTAATGTTGGAATTTTCTTCTGAATCAGCTTGCATCACAGTGAAAATTTTGCTTAAAGTTATGAAAAAAATAAGAAATTTCCAACACTTAGAAAAATTTCTAAGTTTAGAAATTTTAACTTTTCAAAATGAAATCTTGAATTTTTTATTTCTTGATGAATAAGTTTCATATTTTGACATGTTTTGATGAATTGTGATCTTTGACATTTGAATTTGACCAAAAAGTCAAAGTTTGACTTTTCAGTATACAATTGACTTTTGATCAATTGACTGAAAATTCATCTGTCAATCCTTTGAACTTGAGTAATGTTTTGAGTCATGTCATTAGGTCAAAATGATTCAATTGGGCTCTTGAGATCATGCCTTAAACCAATTGATCATTTTCTAGATCAAAAATCATAAATTGCTCTTTCCCAGTCAAAACCCTAATTTTGACCATTTTGCCCTTTTGAAGATTTAATCAAATTTCTGGAGGAATTATGGTCCAAACTTGATCAAATGATACATATGAGTTTAAAATGTTGATGTGGATAAAAAATTATGAAGTTTTACTGTAAATTGGCCATAGTTGACTTTTTCCCCAATACAGTTGATTTTTAGGTCAACTGCTCAATTGACTGAGCAAAAGTGTGATCCAAAGCTTGGAACTTGCCATGAGTGATCTTGAGGGTCCATGATGATCCATGAAAGTCATATGGAGTATTGGAAGTTCAAATATCCTTATGCAATCTCAAACCCTAATTTTGGTCATCAGTGCTTAAGGAGGTGTCTTGAGCCAAAGGAGATCTTGTGAGTAAATTCTTGATAAATGAGAGGACAAATTTTGGGGTACAATAATACCTATTTACACAAAAGTTGGGTTTGTTCAACCGAAATTAATAACAAAGAGTCGGTAAGTGCAACAAAAAGTATATACAAAAACTACAATTTGCACTTATCAATGCTCCTAGATGTAGGTGAAGTTGCACCAAACTGGGTTAACAATTGAACTGTGTTATTTACTTTATGCAAGTTACTTTAAATTGTTTATTGTTCTATCTGTTGTTACGATGTCTTAACAGTGCGCTCAACATCATATGTGACATAAGGGTGTTGTGACATCGTATACAACATTTGTCTTGTCGTGCAAGAATTTCAAAAACCATAGTTTGAAACTCAATACTGTGTTCAATTATTAGCTAACATGATTGTTATTTACAAGCCCGTTGATGAAGTTACGCTTCCTTGTAAATCAAACATGTAGTTAATGTAATAAAATTCACTTCTTGTTAGGAATGAGTTAAGTGAGGATGATACAAGTATTCAAATAACTAGACTCATATTTATGATTCATGTCTAAGACGACCCTTGCAATGTATTATAAATCAATTCAACCTGCTCAATTGGTACCATTGGTACCACATATGGGGTGATATCATAGCTACGTAAAGATTTTTGTTGCAATTTCATACTATTAATAAGTTTAATTAATTTTGTTCTATTGTTAATTTTTAAGCAATTTGAATAATTTGAATATATATATAGTTGAAATTAATATGCATGAGTTTCATAGAGAGATGGTGAAAATTAATATTTAGATTTTTATGGAGAGATAAAACAGAGGCAGAAATCCATGGATTATATTTTTTCGAAAAGAAAACTCTCAAGTTTAAATAAGATATCAATTTTTTTATTAATATGTTGATTCAGATTTTGACTAGACACTTTGTTGTCATGCACATAGTAAAATATTAACGGAAGAGATCAATTAGGCTACAAAATAATTTTTAAAGGACCATTATATAACGTTTTTTAGTTAAAGGACCAAAATAAAACATTAAATTAAATTAAGAGATCTGGTGACTAATTCTGCCAATTTTTAAAAAAAGATCAAATAATTATAATTAAAAAAATAATAAAATTTATGGTGAAAATTTATTAATGTTGTCTCACCTAAGACATTTAAAGTTAAAAATTAATAAAATTGATTAAATTGAATAATAGCATGATTTTTGAGAGAGTAAAACATAACATTTATAATAATAGATTAAAGTGAAATATTAAATTCAATTAAGAAACTATATAATTAATCAATTTTGTCATATCTATAAATTAAATTAAGGAATTGAGTGACTAATTAAACCTACAAAATAAAAATTTGTCATATTATTATTAAAATGTAAGTGTGGTTTAATAGAATATTAATCTACAATTATCTTTTTTTACAAAAAGTGCATAGTTTTATTTCCTTTACAACTAATATAAATCATAGGAAAAATACACTCACTTCTCTTCTTTTAAGGTTTATTAAATTATCTTTTCTTCTCTAAGTCTATTAAAATGACACGCATATCAATATTAATTTAAATTTTTTTAAATTCATATTGTAAAACTTTACTTACTCTCTCTCTCTCCAAACAATAGAAACATCCAATTTCTCTGTTTTGGAAATCTACTGAACCAAACAAAGTTTAAGAGAAATCGCGTGCGGCTGTTGTATATCGCACCTTAGATATTTTTGTCTTGTTTAATCTCTTTCAAATCCGTTTACAATCGCTGAAGCTGTGGAACTCAAAATAAGGTTCTTTCTTTTAACCCATTCTCTTGTTCATCTTTTATTCATCTTTTTTTAATTCCGATGCGATTCTCCGTCACGGGTTAAGTGTTTAGGGTTCCGATTCAAAATCTTACTTAAATTTTAGCTATATAGTAATGATTTATGATCTGCGTTTAAGTTTGAACAACTTTCATTGCGTTTATGAAAATAAATCTGCAGTTTTTGTTTGCTTATTGCTTGGTACTTGAGTTCTAAAATTCATGGAACAGTTAAGTAGGATGTATCCTAATTCTATGATATATCTAATAATTACAATGATCCTAATTAAACAAGAAGAAATCAGATCATATTGGATAGTTTAAAATAGTCTAAGCAAGATGTGAAAATGATGTCATATATTTCTCAAAATTTTTAACACTACAGAAAAATGATTCCTAAAAGTTATGTCTCTAGATGAATTTGTATGTGAATCTATATTGTATCTTATGCCCAGCATACAGTCTTCCTGGTTAGCTTAATTGATCAAAGAGTGGTGTGACTCTCTAATGTTTTTCCAAACCTAGAGTTCATTAGTTTTTGAGAAGTACATGAATATTATCAACATTGTGACACAGAGACTTGCTATCCAGTTTTGGGTGCTGAGTACGGTGACATGATTGATGCAAGATGGGTTGCTTGTTGAAATTTCATGTTCTATACTGTTGGGATTTTGGTTTTTATATTTTGAAGGGGAGGTGGGGGTTTGGCTAGGCTTAAGGATGATCTTGGATGTGGTTGTGATGTGGACAGGAGGAGCCAGTGCCTGATTTTGTAGGTTGTGGTGGAGGTGGTTTTGCTGATCAGTTGTGGTAGAAGTTAAGAAAGAAAACAAGTGAAAAAATGAGTTCAGACAGCCGCAGCCGAAGCCGAAGCAGGAGTAGGAGTCGTAGCCCTGGGATCCGTAAGATTCGCTCTGAACGACATTCCTATCGCGATGCTCCTTACAGGAGAGATTCAAGTCGGGGTTTCAGGTATTTTTCAAACTATTTATTTTCTGTTATCTTTTCCTACTCAAATGTTCTGGTGATAAGGTTGGATAAGAATGAAACTCTGCTGTCTAGAAGAGGCTTTAAATGTTTATAGGGCTGTTTGTAAATCAGTAAGCCAATTTATTTACTTTTTATGAAATGATATCTTCACACTCTACCTGCTGCTTTGATAAGTTCTTTTTGTCAAGCCGATTGACATTTTGAATGTGTGTGCTTTTCTGACCGCAGTAACCATAGCTTGTTTTTTTATTTGTCAGCCGAGACAATTTGTGCAAGAACTGCAAGAGGCCCGGTCACTATGCTAGAGAGTGCCCTAATGTTGCAGTTTGCCACAATTGTGGCCTTCCTGGGTATGAAATTCTGTATCCTTTTTTATTTATTTTACTTAGCATGCTATTCTTTGATGTATTGTATTCTTTGGGTTTTGTTTGGGAGTTTAGAAGGGGAGGAGAGGACTTTGAAACAAAGGAAGAAGGATGAAATGGAAATAATTGAATGTTTTGGGAAGGGAGGGTCTTGAGGAGTTTATTTTTCTTATAAGACAAAATCCCCCCTAATAAGGGGTAACTCAAGTTTTGTCGTAGGGTTCTGGCGGGCTTTGATAAACTATCCAAATTCAAAATTTATCTATTTTGTCCTCCTCTCTTCTCTCTCCAAAACCCTCCCTTCCCCTCCAAACTTCTAAGCAGGGCCTTGGTAAATTATCGTGGTGAGGGACGGAATTGGTCTTTGAGCTTTGTCTTTAATTTGGACCTTGCATTATTAAAAGTTGATATATGAAGTTTTTGACAGATTCATTGTGGACATTTCATTTTGAACGTCAGCTATATTTTCATTCTTAGATTTTGATACCTGTTAGCATGGCATGATTTACTTACATTTTTCTGATGAAACTTTCCCTTGATTAACCTTTGCTCTCATGTCCATAATGTCACCTTAGGATCTACTGCCAATTCATTTTTGTGTTACATTATGGACTGTGGTTGACTTAAGCAATTCACACATTATATTTATCTTCTGTTCGTTTTATCTTTTTTCCTTTCTCAATCCTTGATTATAGTTTCCTCTTTTGCTTTATGTTGATGTTTGAATAATTGCTTTATATGGTATGTTATTGAACTTTCCAGTCTTTCATGAGGCATCCATTGTGTTGTCTGAAAAGATTGACAAAAAGCTCATGATTTGCCTCGATTCACTCGATACCAGTGTTGTCAAATGCAGATTGCAGAAAACTGCAGTTTGTTTATACTCCACTATGCAACAGTGCTACAGCACTGCTATTTCTCAATATTTTGTAGTAAATATTGTACCGCGGAACAATAGCGATCTGTTTAAATTCCACTATTTAACAACATTGATGGATATATAGTTGCATCTCTACAGTCTTCATCCGTGTCTACTTTCAGCTGTAACATCTATCCGAACTGATACTGAGATTATATCAGTGCCATTTTATTTTTGATTTTATAGATGAAGGCTGTTTTCCTTATTGAATCTAATTGAAAATATTAATTCCTTGTTTGAATAAAATGTAAGGGAAAATATATATGTGACTGACGTGATCATGTCTAAGCCTCTTTATACCATTTTCTCTTTCATGATCATTCTACAGTTTCAATCTTTGCTCTAGGATAAAATTAAATTTGAAATATAGGTTGTTTGGCTTTTACAACTTCCAAATTTGAAGTAAAAAAAAGCTACTTGATTCCTTTTAGAAGTCGGCTATGTTAAAATGTTATCTGCTATTTACTAGCAAGTGTCATGGTTTGGTTGACTAGGTTTTCTGATTTTTTTTCCCTTTATGTTTAATCAGGCACATTGCATCTGAATGCTCCACAAAATCTGTATGCTGGAATTGCAAAGAACCTGGCCACATGGCCAGCAGTTGTCCAAATGAGGGCATTTGTCATACCTGTGGTAAAACTGGCCACCGTGCTAGGGAGTGCTCAGCTCCAGCAATGCCTCCAGGGGACTTAAGGTTGTGCCACAACTGTTATAAGCAGGGGCACATTGCTGCTGAATGTACGAATGAGAAGGCTTGCAATAACTGTAGGAAAACAGGGCACTTGGCACGTGATTGTCCAAATGACCCAATTTGCAACGTGTGCAATGTTTCTGGACATGTGGCTAGACAATGCCCAAAATCCAACGTTATTGAAGATCACAGTGGCAGAGGCAGCTTCCGTGGTGCTGGTGGAGGGGGTGGTGGTGGTTACCGCGATGTCGTGTGCCGGAACTGTCAACAGTTGGGTCATATGAGCCGTGACTGCATGGGCCCCTTGATGATTTGTCACAATTGTGGAGGCCGTGGTCACTTGGCATATGAGTGTCCTTCAGGTCGCTTTATGGATCGATACCCTAGTGATCGCGATCGCTACCATAGTAGGAGATACTGATGGATCACGGGTTATGGATTATGGTTATAACTTATATCGTTGCTTTTCTATGATTATCTGACTGAGGACTGGTTGTTGAATATTGACAGTGTAGTGTTTGCTCTTGCTCTTACTCCGAACTCGGTAGATTCACGACGATGATCATATCATGATGCCAATCTATATTGGCTATAAGTGCTTATGATTTGTGCTTGAGCTTGGAATAAGATTTTGTTGTTTGTCATGGTTTTTGTCATGCATCATCCTGCTACCTTAATAAGTTAACTATGTTGAAGTTTATTATGTGTTATGTTGCATAATTTATCATATGATATATCATATTTATGCCGCGAGTCCTATGGTGTGAGAGTAGTACTAATTTTAGTATAGTTCAATTGTGTTTGTCGGTTTGTTTAGCGTGTCTCGCAAGAGTTGATTATGGGATCTGCCAAAAATCAACATAAGCTAATTGTAATTTCCTGAGTCCGTTATCAATGAAGTAGGGGCTTTGGCCTGATAATACAGAGATTTAAAAAACCACACACATTATGAAAAAGAAAGAGGATGAATTCAGGAATATCCCAAAAGAGAAAGTTTAAGCTGCATTTACGCGCTATTCAATTGTTAAAGACTGTCTCGGATTCTGTGACGAAAACATCATGTTTTGCAATTTAATACTACTGCGTGTATTTTTTTTATCATTTATGCTTCAATGTTGTTTTTTATGCATGCAAGGTTAAAAGATTAACGACGTAGGTATTTGCAAACATTTAACTTAAGGTGTCATTGTTTTTTCTCTGGACTGGGCCTACATTTGTCCTACGAGCGAGAGGTCTAAAGATAGTTCAAGTTAGGGATTGTGTGGCAACTCCCTATCAAACCGTTGGGGGACGTGGCCCATAACCTCTTAACAGACATCTCAAACTGCCCTTCGAGAATCTCGGGTCCAGTCCTATTCTCGCGGAGCAGTTGATCAGGGGGGAGTCCACTTGCTGGACTCTACTCACATAAACCCTGGCAATTTCCGTTATTGGGCCTCTGCATGGCCCAATAGTGGGGACATTGGCCCATCGCTAGGGGCTATAAATACCCTCTCTCACAAGAGGTCAGGTATTCATTCATTCACACCTAAAACTCATACTTGTTTGCTCGTTCCGCTTTTCACTTTACCATCGGAGTGTCTTGCAGGTACCCCTATCTCATTCAAGCTCAGCCTGAAGCCAACTGTGACGGTCCAACTCTGATCAGGTTAGATCAGTGGTGCCGTCTGTGGGAATCTAAGCTTCCCCGTCTTCTATTCACTTGAGACCAAAGCTAAACATTCCTCGATTGTCATGGCTGACCAGACTCTGGACAACCAGAACGTTCGTGTCATCGACGTTAACAACAACATCGCCGACAACAATGTCAGCCTCGACAAAGCCGGTATCGCCGGCCATAACACGGTCCCTGGCGTCAACATGCCAGGACCTTCTAATTATAGGGACGAAGCCACTGCTTCTTCTTCATCAATGCCTCCTCGACTTGAAGAAGATCGACCACCTCCCCTGAACTATCCACCCGTCCAATTTTAAGAGGTCCCCGTCCCCGCCGGGGCAGACGCCACGACCAGGACACTGTTCGCGGCGATCAATCAAATCAACTATCTCATCTTCGCCCAGGGGGAAAGATTGAGAGCGCTCGACGACGATCGAAGGCCCCTGAGAAGACACAGGAGACCTCAATCTCCTCCCCCTCGACAAGCGGACGAACGTCCCCAATCTCCCCTGCAGAGACATAATCGAGACATCTCTAGAAGTCCGTCGCCCCGACCACTCGGGCGACGACCCCCTTTGGAGAGGGAACCACTCGTCGACGCAGGAAGACACGGCTATGGCCCTTCGCGGCAAGAACGAAGATCCCCTGGAGACAGACACGGGGGAAACCATCAATGGTCATACCGCCCAAGGAACGCTCCGCGCGACCAGGACCACCGTGACCGCCACTACATCAGATCTCCATCTCGCTCTCCCAAACGGAGTGACGAGGACGACCCCCGCGGTCCCTTATCACAAGCTATCATGGAGGCTCCCATTCCCTCGGCATGGAGAAGCCTCCCCACTTAAAGGCGTACGACGACATCGCCGACCCGGTCGACCATATAGACGGGTTTGAAGCCATACTGCACTACCACAACGTCGGGAGACCAATCAAGTGTCGGTTGTTCCCCATGACTCTGAGGAAAGTGGCTATGGACTGGTACAAAGGTCTCGTCCCGGGGTCAATTACCTCTTGGCTATGGACGGGTTTGAACCTAATGAATGTTGATAAGTGGTTTCAGTAAGTGGTTAATGAATGCGGCCAAATGATTACAAAATATTAATAAATGGCTACTAAATATTCTTTTTATTTTATTTTTAATATTTGTTATAGTTGACACTTTCACACAAATTAAAAATAAAAAAGAGAATAATAACTTTATTAAATTATTCTTATTAACGATTGATGTAATTAAATTAACATTAATGATAAATAAAAAAAAATAAGTAAAAATATTTATTAGAAGGTACAATTAGAAGATTAAAAATAAAAATGTATTGATAATTTAAAGTGACAAATATTTTTTAAAAAATAACTTGTCTAAATGTGATATTTATTTTGGGTGAGAGAGTATATTAAATGATAAACAATGTTAAATTATATTATTGAATGACTTTAATTACCGTAAGAGTCTCTCAAATATAAATTATTTTATTAATATTGAAAGAGGTAATCATACATACTGTGATCGGTGGAAATAGAACTGACTGTTTAAAGCTGGATCGCGTATGTCGCGGTAAGCAAGAGTCGCCACCGTCTTTTATGTTCTCCAACATGGAAAGGACAAAAGCACAACAAAATTCCTTATTGAGAATGCCTCTCGGTTCGGGAGGTAGATTTATAGAAAGGGAAGGTGTTAGCACCCTTTCTATCTGTGGTTATCCACGGGCTCTTAGGTACTTGCTCACTATGTTTTCAAAAAATGTTTGTTTTTCTTGTGTCTGTGGGTTTGAAAAAAGTTTCGTTTTTGAAAGATTTCTAAGTGACTCTTGTATCGGTCCTCAAGAGTGTTTGAAAATTTTGTTTTGAAAATATTTGAAAGTGTCAGTGTGAAAAGATGTTTGGTTTGTTTGAAAGAGAGCAAGTACCCATGAGTCATCTACCTACCCTAAGGAATTAGGCTGTGTAAGAGTCCTTTAGATAGTGCCATCCCACCATTGAGAGGTAGGTAGCACCACCGTTGGAGGTGTTCGGGTCAATTCGATTGAGGGACAGTGTGGTCACCGAAGCAATAGTAGGACACCCTAGAAGTAACCCTAATGTCATAGATCCTTTTTAATCCGATGCAACCGTTTCGAGGCAACTGGATCTTAGACATAAGGGCGACCGCTAAAACACCCTATACTTGACGACCACTTTCGAGGCAACGAGTGAGGCGTACCCTAGAAGTGGCATGTGCATTGTGTGTTGTTTTCATGTTATGTTCATCTTTGATCATGCAATTGTGAGCTACGAGTTGTTTTTAATTATCATACATTCTTTCATGCAATTTAACAGTTAGGAGTGCGGAAAATAAAGTACGGAAAGGTAAAAGCTACGCTATTACAAGGCGCGGGTCTATACATCGCCAAAAAACAAAGACCCGTTTTTGATAAAGTGCGAAAAATAAAGAAAGCAATAAACCTAATTACTATTACATCCTTGGGAGCAGTTACATAATAATCAAATAAGAAAATAATGCGCAAATAGAAATTAAACTGGACGTCCTTAGGGTTTTGACCCTTTTGAGAAATTATGAACTTTTTTGTCCTTTTGCATTAAATTAAAATTAAACCTAGTACTAATTACTTAATTATTTACAAGAAAGATATTTTTTGTGTTTCTTTGTATTTAATGAAAATAAAATAAATTAAAAGTCAAAAGAAAACCCTAGTTCTAAGTTTATTTTAATTATTATAAAAATGTTAAAGTTAAA